TGAGAGCATGTGTACACCTCATTCATGGCCGCCTTCACGACGTTGCGGACCATGAACCGGGTGAACCATAGCTGCTCGAACTCCTTCCACGTAATGTGCGTGTGGAGTTCGGCGATAGTGCACTTGTGTGTAGCCGCTAGGTGGTTCATCCATCCCTGCGCTCCTCCAATCAGCTGCAGATATAGTGCCTTCAACATGTCGTCCGCCGGGACCATGAGGCATGATGCTTCCGTGAGGAAGCGTTGCCACCATGACAAGGCGTCCGACTTGTTGTAGTCGTCGAACTTGCTGATGTCGAAGTGCGGYATCTTGAACGTCTTTGTAGCGGCTTCCGGTCTGTCTGTAGCTTGGTGAGGTCCGTCTTGATGGCGGCCACCGTGCTGCTGATCGAGTCTGGTCCAGTGAACGTACTTATGTCGCCGATGATGGTGACGACGTGATCGATGCGCTCGTTGAGTTGCTTCGTCACGTCTGTCGTGCAGCCTAGCGCTGCTGAGGTGTTAGCCTCTATGCTGTTGACGCGTGTGATAGTGGAATTCAACAGTTGATGCTGTTGCTGCTGCTGTATTGCCTCTGTGCGGATAGCAGTTGTTAACATAGTGATATCATTCTTGTATGTTTGTCGCTGCGTCGCGTCCGTGCACAGATGTGACTGCAGCAGTGTATTATTCCACATAATACCTCTCATCATGCCCAGCAGCAAGTTAGCCAGGTTACTTCTCTCTGCCTCCGCCGGTGTCGGGTCTGCCTGCGCTTCTGTAGGCACAAAGATCATGTCTTGGAGTATCGTCGTCCACTGATGCTCACAAGCAATCAAGGACTCCGTGCTGCTGGCATTCCGTCTGTCTCGTGTCGCTGCGTCAGTCTCAGTCGTTCGCTGAGCTTCGGCTGCCGCTTCATTGGCTAGCCGCTGACGTTCTGCCTCTGCTATCTCCTTCCGGGCCTCGACGGCAGCTACGGCTTCTGAAAATGATAGTAGCCACCCACGATAATCAGCCGCTGGCTCGTTGGCTCCTCGGACTGGGTATGCGGGATGATCTCCGGTGGCGTCTTGTACCGTCAATGTCGTACTTGATGCTGCTGGAGTCGTCCGTCTGCTGAGTTTCTTCGGTCTTGGAGGTACTGCAGGGCGGGCACGAACTGCGATTCTGGCACTGCGTCATGGCTGTGCCCCGGTGTCCTGTCCCGTCGACATCAGTCTGAACTGATGCGGTACTTGAGAAGTCCCGGTAATCACAGAACACCGGGGGTAGGGAGAGTGGGAACAGGGGTAGAACAATCAAGCAATATACATACAATCCCCTGTCCCACTGATGGACTGTAGACACCTAATCAAACGGAAAAAATAATTTTCCCGTAAACCCCTCGAAAAATTCGTAATAAGGAATTTATAACTATTTAATCAATAAAATTAATTAATGATAATTAACAAAAATAAATCCGAATGATAATCAGTAAACAATGTTTGTAATAAAGATAACCAACGAATGATAATCAGTAAAACAATGTTTGTAAATAAAGATAACCAATTAATAACGAATTTGAAAGGTATTACGATTAGGTCTCTTTGAGATCACTATGAGACCGGGAGTTCTCCGAATAAGTGAACTGCCCGGTAGCTGCAATTTAAGGTCAGATACGGCTTAGTGTGCTTAAAAAAAATTTCGGAAAATTTCAGAAGAAAAACGCTCGAATTTTCAAAAATGCGAATTTTCGGGAATTTCCACCGTCAAAATCCGATTTTTAAAAGCCTAAACCTATTTTCGGAATTTCTCAAACAAGGAGAACGAAAAAAATTTCGGTCCCAACCCTAATTTCCGCGTTTCGGCGAAATTTCCGGATTTACGGTCCCAAAACGTTCGGGTTTTCCCAAGTTGATCTAAAACCAAAAGATTTTCATAACCCTAAGTTTAGCGCATAAAACAGTACACTGGTACTGACCATGCTGTGCCGGTAGAGTTCCGGTAGGCCGATCCCCAACTGAGGCAGGATATCGGTACTTATACCGGTAGGCAATGGTCTGGCCTCAATGCTGCGAGGCCAGACCAGACCCTGGATCGTCCAGATGGACGGTTCAGCCTCAATCGGCGGGCGGCAGCTTCAAGAGCGCCGCCAGGTCCAAACGAAGTGTCGTTTGGGCCTACCCGATGGGTGCTGGTCCAAAATCAGGCCTTTAGGGCCTGTAAACCCAAAAGGTCGGGCCTTTAGGCCCTGGTGTGTCCCTCCGGCCCTAAGTCGGGTCCGGTAGGACCCGTGTGAGTCGAAGATGTAACACAGAGGCAGAGGCAGCACGTCAGCAGGCCGCAGCAGAAGCTGCAGCAGCCGCACGGTTGCAACAGCAGCAGGTCGAGACAAGTCAAAACCAAGTTCGTTACCAAGCTACAATGGAGCTCGCCAACGAAGAAGCCACGTACCGGAGGTTACTCCGACAGCTGCATTTTCGAGCAAACGAGGAACGAGAGGAGCCGACCGAGGACGAGAGAAACAAGGAGGCCACAGCAGTTTTGATGGAGAATCTGCTGTACACGTGCAATTGGCAGCAACGTGAATTGTTGGCCATGCGGCAGGTCTTCATCCGCCACAAAACGACGTTTAAAGCATTGGACAAGAAGATCGCTACCATGCAGGCCGAACTCAGCACGCTACACGCCGCCAACAGCCAGCAACAGACAATCAACGGCCACCTGCAGAATGATGTTAGCACGGGGTTGGCACAACTATCGGCAGCTGCGTCGACAGGCAGCGCAGTGGCAGACTGCAGCCCAGCCTTGGCCGCACAGGCCAAGCAACTCGAGGAGTGGATCAACCACGTGGTCGCGTCCCTCGGCGACATCAGCAAGTTTGTTGGAGCGTCGACAGTCAGCAATCAACTGCAGACGCTCAGCGACCGCGTTCAGCAACGACCGGCCGCTGTCGCCAAGGAATGGAAGATGCCGAACTTCAAGATCGAGAAGTTCGATGACTATCACAAGACTGATCCACTGCAATTGTGGATGGCTTTCAACGCGGAGGCGGATGTACATCACACTCCAGAACTACGGCGGCTTGACGCGCTCTACCTCCAACTCATCGGAGGGGCGCAGGCTTTCATGACCCACATGGCCGTCACGTTGGAATGAACCATCGCCAACCTCCACACCAAGATTGCGTGGGAGGAATTCGAGAAGAAGTGGAAGACCCGGTTCATGGTCAACAACGACAAGCATCACGCCTTGAACAAGATCTTCCGCATGTTTCAAGGCCAGCAACCTTCACGGGAGTGGCTGACGGAGTGGCAGAAACTCGTCACCACCCCGGAGTTGAACTTACCGTTCGACGCAATCCGGGCCGAATTTTTCGCTCGGTCATGCGACGCCTTGATAGCTGCGCTGGGCACCGAATTCCAGTATGAGACCTTTGATAACATGATCCCAAAGGCAAGAGAACTAATCCAAGGTAACCGGAGCGCGGCCAACGAGGCCCGCCAACAGCCCGGTTATGTGGAGAAAGGCAAAGGTCAACGGACGTCGCAAGTAGCAGCAGTCCAACAAGGACCTAGTAAGGACCGCGCAGGCGCGTCTACATCAAGTGACGGAGATGTGGCGGCAGCGATACCACCACAACGCTTAAGACCCCAAGGGGGAAAACAAAAGGCGAAACCAGCGTCGGCGGATGGAGCACGACAGGCACCATGGACAAAGTTCGGCATTACCGAAGACATGTTCAAGTTGCGACAAAAATGGGGATGCTGTTTTTGGTGCAACAGCACCAAACACATCACCAGCGCATGCCTCGACAAGGACAAGGAGAATGTCAAACGTCCAAGCTCAGGAAACAGAGCACCGCGGAAAGTGCAGCGACATCACTTCCCAATCCGCCGGAGTCGGCTGCCTTGCTAGCAATCTCTCTCACATCCGGGGATGACGCGGTAGTCGCAAGTTCTCGTATCGATTTTGAAAATTATGTTGTCGAGCTGGTCCCACCGTTGAACCAGCCACTCCATGTGCAAGATTCAAGCGCATGCGCGGTAGTTCCGTCGTCGGCCAACGAACCGGTTGCTTCGCCAGCCCTTCCATCGGAGGATCCGTCAACTTAGGCGAGTCTTGAGGAACCCGACCCGTTGACGGTTGAGGACTTCGAATGGTTGCCTCTTCCCTCCACCGGTTCTTTGCCAACACCGCATTGCAACGCCTTAATGGCACATTTGCGCGAGTATTTGCACGCTGCAGTACCACCTCCGTCGACACATGACGAAGTAGCGGTTGTTGATCTTCGTAACTATCTAGCGAAGATCGACCGCGAGTATGCAACACAATGGTACATCGATATCGACGCGCCGCTCCTCTACATCCGCATTCAGATCGGAAAGGCGACCTGCAGTGCCTTGATCAATTGTGGAGTGACTCGCAACTACATCAGCCAAGACTTCATGGCACGCGTCGGGCTTGGCCCGCGCGGTCGAAGGAAAAGTCAGCCGACGCACGTCATGTTGGCCGATGGTCACACGCAACAGTCAATCGACCGATGCGTTGACTTGGTGCCCGTGTACATTGCCCCGCTAGCATGCGAGGCCGTGTCATTCGACATATTGGACATTAAGTTCGATATGATCTTAGGCATGTCGTGGTTGCAAAGCGAAAACCATCCGGTGAACTTCTATCGACGCACCGTTCACGTTCGTGATCGGCGTGGCGAATTAGTCCCGTGTATAGTGCCGCTTTCTCATCCTTCGATTGGTTGTCACGTGGTCTCCACGGCGAGCATTCGCCAATCCATCCGGCGGAACGACATCGAAGAGATGAGCATATGTTTTCTTCACGCCCTCCCACCCGGTGATTAGCCCAAGACGGATACGTCAGACCCACGCATCATTGAGCTGTTGGACAACTATGAGGATGTCTTCCAAGCTCCCGCCGGAGTAGTACCGGATCGGCCCATATGCCACGGGATCACTCTCGAGGACGGTGCCGTACCTCCACGCGGATGTATCTACTGCATGAGCGAAGAGGAGCTTCAAGTGCTTCGGGCACAACTAGACGACCTCTTGGCCAAGGGCTGGATTCGCCCTAGCTGTTCGCCATACGGTGCCCCCGTTCTCTTCGTCCAGAAGAAGAACAAGGACCTTCGTTTGTGCATCGACTATCGGAAACTTAACGCGCAAACGATCAAGAACGCCGGCCCTCTCCCTCGGATCGATGATCTTCTCGAGCGACTAGGCGGCGCCAAGTACTTCTCGAAGCTCGACCTCAAGTCCGAATATCACCAGATCGAGATCCAGCCAAGAGATCGGTACAAAACCGCATTCAAGACGCGGTATGGGCACTTTGAGTGGATCGTCATGCCTTTCGGTCTCACCAATGCCTCGGCTACTTTCCGAGCGGCTACGACGACGGAATTCCGCGACTTGCTCGACCGCACCGTACTCATTTACCTTGATGATATCTTGGTTTATAGTCGGACGCTGGACCAGCACCTCGAGCACCTTCACGCCGTGTTGGAGCGGCTCCGTATCGCCAAGTACAAGGCAAATTGCGACAAGTGCGAGTTTGCCCAGCAAGAGTTGGAGTACTTAGGCCATTATGTTATGCTGCAAGGCATTTGTCCACTCCCGGACAAAGTACAAGCCATTCAAGATTGGCCGGACCTCAAGTGTACTACCGACGTCCGCTCCTTTCTTGGCTTATGATAATAATACACGCGCTTCGTCAAAGGGTTTCAACGGATCGCTGCACCATTGTCGCGACTTCAGTCCCCCTTGGTGCCCTTCGAATTCAACGACGAAGCCCGACATACGTTTCATACGCTGAAGACGACTTTGTTCCAAGCTCCCGTCTTAAGCATCTTTGACCCGACCTTGCCTACCAAAGTGACTACGAATGCTTCCGGCTACGACATTGACACGGTTTTGGAACAGCATGACAACACAGACTGGCATCCGGTTGAGTACTTCAGCCAAAAGGTGCCACCCATCAACACTCTTCATGATGCGAGGAAGAAAGAACTGCTAGCTTTTGTCACCGTACTTAAGCGTTGGCGTCACTTTCTCCTCGGGCGTCGGCGATTCACGTGGGCAACAGACAACAATCCGTTGACTTATTGCAAGACGCAAGACATGGTGAGCAGCACGATCGGTCGATTGATGTACTTCATTGACCAGTTCAACTTCACCTCCAAGCACATTTTGGGCTCCTCGAACAAGGCAGTGGATGCTCTCTCACGAAGACCAGATCTTTGCGCCTTGGTGCACTCCACATTCGGCCTCGACGAGAACCTGCAACAGCATTTCGTAAACGGCTACAAGTCGGATCCGGGATTCTCCACACTCTATGCGGACTTATCATCGGATCACCTGCCAACAAGCAATTATCGCATTGTCGACAGCTACTTGCTTCTCCATACACGAGGCAAGGACTTGTTGTGTGTTCCCCAAGACCACATCTTGCGCACTCGCCTCCTTGGCGAATACCACAATTCGCGGTTGGCGGTACACCTTGGCGTCGCACGCGCACTCGCACGACTCTTCCAGCGATTTCACTGGTCGGACATCATCGGCGACGTCAACCGGTACATTCAGTCATGTGCAGTTTGCCACTGGAACAAAGGGCGCTATCAGCTCCCGTACGGCGAACTGAAACCATTACCGATTCCTCGGGAACCAGGTCTTTCCATTGCTATGGATGTGACCGGTCCTTTCCCTCGCGATCGCCTTGGCCATGATGGTATTCTCACGGTTGTTGACCGTTTGAGCAAGTACGCTCGATTTCTTCCGTCCAAGTATCATGCGACAGCTCCCGAGCTCGCACGACTTTTGCATACTGGCTGGTTTTGCAGCCACGGCGTTCCGGAAGACGTCGTCAGCGACCGCGACACTCGTTTCATGTCAGGCTTTTGGACGACACTCATGGTGGAATCCGGCACCAGCATGAAACCGAGTTCCGCATAGCATCCTCAAACGGATGGGCAAATGGAACGTGCGCACCAGACTGCGCAGATGATGCTCCACACACTCATCCGCCCGGATCAGAAGGACTGGGCCTACAACACTTCGGTGCACCCGGCGATTGGCGTAACTCCATTCGAGTTGCATCACGGTGGACGGAAAAGACGTATCTTCGTAGACATTTTGCTTCCACGGGCTTCCCATATTGACGCCGCTTGCTCCCCCGCTTCTACACGGAAGTACAGGGAACTGCTGGCCAAAGCTCGTGCAAACATGCAGAAGGCTCAGGTCCGTATGCAGCAGCAAGCGAACCGGCGTCGCATTCCATGTCCAATCCGAGCTGGCGACCTGGTTTGGGTCACCTCCGAGGAATTCGCGCTTGAGCAGCACGTCTCGCGCAAGCTCCTCCCTAAGTGGTTTGGACCATGGAAGGTCACTTCAGCAGCTGGCGACGACCCCGCGGGTCCATCTTTCATCATTGAGATTGCCCCGCATTTGACGGTCCACCCGATATTTCACGCTTCAAAGCTGGCGGTCTACACTCCAGCCTCCACAGCGGACTTCCCGAGCAGACGGTCACAGGACCCTCCTTCAAAGGATGGTCATCAGGAGGTCGACCGCGTTCTCACGCATCGCAAGCATGGCAACAAGCCAATGCAGTACAAAGTTACATTTAAGCAATGCGATCCTGACGACACACGCTGGATTTCACAAGCTGACCTGAAGGCGACAACACCCCTCATCTTCGCGCATTACGAAAAACAGCGACTTGCTAAGGAAGCTGCCCAACCTGCCCGCCCCGTACGGACATCGGACAGACAGCTTCGCCCTCGCAGTTAGCTCGGTCTTCAAGGGAGGGAGTGTGTGGCATTCTGAGCCACACGGGCCCCAGTTAGGGCCCGGTTCCAAATAGGCAGGGTAGGCCTAAGGGGACGGCGGTTCAGATGAGGCCGAGATAGGCCAGGACCACGGCGGTCAATCGTGGGTAGAGGCCCAGGCCAATGGCCACAAGGCCGGTACCGGTCCAGCATAGGACCTACCGGCGGCACAGTTTCAGAGGCTGCCGCGTTTAGGCGCCAAATCCACTTTCAAATCTGGACCGTCGATCAGATCAACGGTCCAGGCCGGTAGGTACCAGCACGTAGGAGGCCGGCCCAGCACTACAAAAGGCTGGGTACCAGCCTCAGTAGGGAGGTTAGATGGACCGAAGGTTAGTCTTCAGGATTAGCGCAGCATTCAGCGTTAGTACGATTAGCGCAGCGCTGCAGCATAGCGAGGAGCAGCGAGGAGAACAGGAGCTCAGTGGCGAGAGGATTAGCGCAGCATCGGGCGCGGTGCCAGTTACCGGCCCAGCCCCCTTGCAGCGCCATAGCTACTGTGCCAGGTACCAGGGAGGAAGGCTTCACCTTCTCTCCCTCATCTTCCTCCACCGCTCCCTCTCTCTCTCTCTCGCTCGCTCTCTCTCTCTCCTCCTACCTTCTCAGTCTAAGTCTGCTTCTGGGTTCTCCTACAGGACTACTATGAGTATGAAAGATGGTTACGAAGTCTGATGACATTGGAGACAGCAACATTGGGACTATAGGTTGAGGACTACTTGTGGGATCTGATTTCATCTGCCTCCGGAGATGGACTTGACATTGTGAGATCGATATCTGAGACCTTGTGGGACACTGTATTCGCGACATTTCGGACTTTCGCCATCTCTGACATTTCAAGATACTATCTTTGGAAACATTGAGTTGTCGTCATCTTCCCTCTCCTCCTCCCTTCGTCTCTCTCTCCTCCCTCCATTCGTCCGTGGATGATCTCAGACCCTGGCCCTTCGTCTACGTCCAAGGCCAGGGCTTTCACACCCCTCATGAACGATTGAGAGCGTTCGATTGCAGTCCGAGTCAGGTCAGAGTCAGTCCATGTATCTCAAGTCTTCCGCTGTGTTTGTATTTGTATTTACTCTGTATTATCTGGTCGGTTCTAGGAATCTGCGCCATACTTATGACTGTGTTTCACGAGTATGCAACACCTGGCCATGGACATAGAAGAAAAGGCCGGGGCAATTCTCATACACGGATGAATGGAGGGAGGGGAGACGAAGGGAGGAGGAGAGGGAAGATGACGTCAACTCATTGTTTCCAAAGATAGTATCTTGAAATGTCAGAAGTAGCGTAAATCTGAAATGTCGCGAACACAGAGTCTCACAGTGTCTCATCCGAAATGTCGCGAACACAGAGTCTCACAGTGTCTCAGATATCGATCTTCACAATGTCAAGGTACATCTTCGGAGGAAGATGAAATCAGATCCCAAGAGTAGTCCTCAACCTGCAGTCTCAAAGTCGCTGTCTCCAATATCATCAGAACTCGTGACCATCCTTCATACTCGTAGTAGTCCCGTAGGAGAACCCATGAGTAGACTTAGACTTAGAAGGTAGGAGGAAAGAGAGGGAGAGAGAGAGAGAGAGAGCGGTGGAGGAAGAAGAGGGAGAGAAGGCAAGGCCTTTCTCCCTGGTACCTGCTACGGTAGCTATGGCGTCGCGAGGGCTGGCGCTGGGCCGCGGGCTGGGCCGGGGCTGGCACTGCTCCCACTGCTGCGCTGGTTCCTCTTTGCCGCTGAGCTCCTTCTCTCCTCGCTGCTCGTGCTAATGCTGAAGCGCTGCGCTAATCCTGCTAACGCTGAAACGCTGCGCTAATCCTGAAGACTAACCTCCTGTCCACTAACCTACCGACTGAGGCTGATACCCAGCTGATATAGTGCTGGGTCGGCCTCAGTCCTACTGAGTGCCTTCGGGTCTGGACCGTTGATCGGGCCCAGCGGTTCAGATCCGATTTGAATCTGAAAAGTGGCGCCCAAAACTGCGCCGCCGGCTGGGCCTACTGATGGACCGGTACCTGGCCTAAACAACTAGCCGTTGGGTCTGGTGGGGTTTAAATGATGCCTACCGGACCCTAAACTGAACCGACGGTTCCTAGGCCTACCTGGACCTAGCTGGGGCCGTCGTGACCCAGTACCTAGGCCTAAACCGTGCCTGCTACAGAACCGGGCCCTAACTGGGGCCCGTGTGGTATCAGTATGCCACATAAAACCAGACTCTTCCTGTCCCCTTAACCCTTTTTTTTTCTGTGTCTACCCTGTCCCTCCCCTTTCCCTATCCTGAACCCTTCTCCTTAAACCCTAAAACCCTATGCCTATTGATGCTATTTTTCCTTGGTTCCTGTCTCCTTAAACACTAAAACCCTACGCCTATTGATGCTATTTTTCCTTGGTTCCTGTCTCCTTAAACCCTAAACCCTACTGGTGTTGCTCTTCTTTCCCTTTACCGTCACCGCTTCATCCACTCTGTCCCCACTGAAATACTAAGCCTGAGGCCTGGATAGTTGCTACTTTGCCATTCCCCAGAAATCTGTGCTCAAACCTGTCTTTCAATTCCTGTTCTTCGTGCGGTTGCTGTCTCATCTGCCTCTGCACTCTTTTCCACTGTGACCGGGCGTCGGTTTCCAATAGGTTATTTCTTTCTTTTTTCCTTTTTCTTTTTGTTGAAAAATCAGGTCCTTATGGGCCTGGCTCCATGTCCATTCTGGGGAGCATCAGTCCGGTTCCTTTTTCACCCGGCAAGTCATGTATTGCATCATTGACACCGTCACGCTTCCTTTAGTTTGGCCGAAGGACCCCTGACCAGTATTGATTACTCCTTGTAACAGGAGGATTGACTGTCAGCTTGCGTTCTCATGAATCCCTCTCAGGTCCTGAAACTGAACCTGCGAACTGTAACTTTCCATACCAAGAATCCTGAGAAATATTATGAGAAAATGTGTCTGAGGCTGCTTTTGGCAACTTTCTCATGCTCCTGTCTCCTCTTGGCCGACGGCTTCTTTTTCACTCTTCCTGTCTGGCGGGACTCTGGGGTCTCTCCTGTATGGTTCCCTGCATCCCCAGTACTGGGTCCGAGTTGTGCCGGTCTCTCCATTGCAGCCTGTCTGCGTGGATTTGTGCTACCTTGCCTCTGGCAACCCAGATCTTCTTGAAGCTTGCCAACCTTGCTGTTCAGAATCAGGGTGGATTTGAATAGCTTCGTCCATCCTTCTCCATTTGCACTGGATCTCTGCTTCTATAATGCCCTTTGTTGCTATCGATGCCTTGCTGTTTGTGTTATGGGTATTGTCCAGCGTCGTGCTGCACCTCTCCTTCCATATCGCCCATAGTGTCACCTTGTGAATCATTCCAAACCACGTCCTTTCAGATTTGTCAAACTGGGAAGGTGGAGGAGAATAGCTGGTCCCATAAGTATGAGGCTCTGGCCCACTGTTCTGTGGCTTCCTTACATCGGATCAGGCAGTGAATCAAGTCCTCTTGTTCTTGATCTGAACACACTACGCATAGGTCCAAGCTGTTAGGGTCACTGTTCTTTCTTCTGTTGTGTAGCCACTGCCAGCGATTGACGGGCAGGGCGGCATATGTCACTAACCATTGAGACTTCTTATCTTGATTGGACGAATCATTTTGAATTCACTCCATGGTATTTTGGATATTCGGTTGGCTTCCTCCCCTATTAGCCTTGTCCATCTGTGTTTGATAGTTGGTTCTGGGTCTTTTGTCTTGACTAGCATATTGAAACGGTTTCGCCCAGTTGACACGACATTTGCAGACACTAAGACTCGATCCCTTGACGTGTGCCCTAACCCTGTACATTAACCCTATACCCTGTGTGAGATTCGAACCTGTGACCTGTCCCTAAAGCCGTAGGTTAGTTAGTAGGACTGTTTGTTAGTCAATAGGACTTGATCCACAGATCTCCGTTTTAACAGATTAGTGTGCTACCAGTAGGACTAGCTAGGGCCCATCTAGAAGTCTCTACCAGTCTGTACGTAGGGGCCTAACAGTCTGTCCGTAGGTAGAGTCTAGAAGGTCGTAGGGCTGTCTGTAACTGTCCAGTCATCAAGTACCAGGCAAGTGGGGGTTCCAAGCGGTAAGTCCCACGTGTTTTGGACCAGTAGGCCCACGCGTCTGGAGACTTCTGGGCCTCACACGGTTTGCAGGGCCCAGGCCTCACGTGGTT